TTTGTAACAAAAATATATTACATTTGTAACAAAAACAGCCTAATTTATTGAGATAGTAATAGTGAAAAGAATCATAAGTCAAACGATACTTTCAGAATCGATAGAATCAGACCTTTGAGATGGGTGAAAATCTGATTCACTTGGTGCAAATGGTTCAGACTTTGTTTCATTGTCATCCATTTTATCAATAAAAGATTTTTTTAGCTGTACACTTTAGCACGTGTTTTAAAATCGCTCGCAGCGTTAAATTTAATGGACTTTATCTAGTTCTTTTCTGAAAGGAACCCACAGAATATTCAGAAACGAAACAGAGATAATATAGCTGCTTAATGAGTGAAGTATGACTTGATTCATTTTTCAAGTGGAAAAAAAATATTTTATAAACGTAAAAAGACGATTATATCTTAAAATAGTAGGAAATTGGACTTGATCCATTTTAATTCTGACTAATCCAATTGAACAGAGAAGTGGACACGTTAAAAGGTTTATTTATAATAAAGTTCAATCTATGATGTTATAGTGGATCGATTATAATTAGCTTTTAAGCAATTTATAGCTAAATCGTTTATACATTATAAACCATATTTCCTGCATAACTATCAACAAACAATAATAGTATGGCTTTTCCATGACAGTGATGTTAGACAACAGAGATATTTAGACTTTTTATACAATAACAATTATTTAAAAAAATATGTTTTCTGTGATAATGCCAAAAATGGTTGTACTATTCATATTTATTATAATTTAAAATACAACCATATGTTTTTATTACAAAGCAGATAACACCAGTACCAAAAAAACTTTCTATTTTCGTATCTCCCTGTAATCAAAATATGTATAAACTTGCGTTTAAGATCATTGGTATGCCGGTCGACTTTTCAACAATGTCTCTATAAATCGTTTCCTACATAATGGTACCATAAATTATAAATGTTATTTCCTAAAACGACAAGAGGTCGTACCGCGCGCGTACAAATGTATGTGAACGGTACCACGCTAATTTGGTACTACCAAACTGGCCGAACTTGTCCGTCTAGATACTTAATTTGATAACAGCTAAATTATCCGAGAAAAAAAAACGTAATGTATTCACGTGTACAACGTCTTATGTAACCTATATCTTTGTGTAATATGTTGTTTTTACTGTTACCAATCCTATTAGATTGTACCCTTCGAATTTGGTTAGCCGTTACTTTATCTTTGAAAAATATTACATTAAAAACTGCTATTAGTAAGAGGTTAACTGGAGAATATTTATCTAATCCCTTTATATTACAATTCTAATAACTTTGCATGCACAAAAAATGCACAATTATGGCTACTATTTTTTGGACATGTTTTGTGCCACGAAATCACCCATAAGGTTGCGCATCTTTTTATTTTTTCAATCAACGATTACACCAATAAAAATGCAAAACTTAGATTTTGGACTCAGAAGCAGTTTTCACACTGTAACTAGAATTGAAAATATATCCTAAATTCGATTAGATGAAATATCCTAAATTTAGAAACGAATACTGTAAAGTTAATTGCAGACGAATTATATTTAATGATGTTTTTATTACCTATTTACATAAATATGTTATAATTCTTCTCTATAATTGAGTATACATATTATGTTAATGTGATGAAGATGAACAAGGAATGTGATGAAGGAACAAAGAATAGGATCACTCACGAGAAATCAGATGCCGCATAGAAAAAGCCAGAACCGTTTTTAACCGTCTTGGAAAGATCCTATACAATATACACCTGAATATTGCTATAGGAACACAGGTCCTAAGATGCTACATATTCCCCACGCTCCTATATGGAGTGGAAGCTTGGACCTTGACAGATGCTACATCTAAACGCTTGGAAGCCTTTGAAATGTGGTGCTATTGCCGCATACTTAGGATTTCATACACTTACATGTCAAACAATACCGTGATCCAAAGAATGCAAAAGGAACTAGAAATTATAAATAGTGTGAAAGTGAGAAAAATGGCATACCTTGGGCATGTGATGCGTAATGATAAATACCAGCTTATCCAACTAATACTGCAGGGCAAAATAGACAGTAGAGGAGGTCAGGGACACCGACGAACATCATGGCTGAAAAATATTGGACAGTGGACGGGAATGACTACCGTACATTTATTCAGGGCGGCTGTCAATAGGATTATATGGATCAACATGATTGCCAACATCCATAGAGGATAGGCACTGAAAGAAGAAGAAGAAGATGAAGATTGAGATGAGAAAAATCACACATTTTATATATAAAATTATATGGGATATATCATAGATTGTCATTTGGTCGTATGTGATACATATGTGTTTGGAATTTTGGCGTATGTGATACTAAGAACTTTTTCGCCTGTCTCTGTCTTGGTAAATTTTCCCATAACAACAACAAGCCAAGAGTGTCACCATCATGGATCACTGGGCGATCCCTTCCTAACAAATACAGGAGTTAGGCAAGAATGTGTCTTAGAGCCTCTCCTATTCAACATATTCATGGAAGCGCTCTCCATTATAGTGGACAGCAAACTGCAGGAGAGAGGATTGGGCATTAGATACAGATACGAAGGTGGTCTGTTCAACATAAAAAGACTCAGGGCAAAAACACGTACAAAAATCATCACAGAACTTCAATACGCTGATGATGCGCTCTAGTTGCAAAAACGTTACAGCAATTACAAGAAATGTTGAACTCATATACCTGGGCATATGAGGCTTTGGGTCTTAAGCTAAACATAGAAAAAATAAAATCATGTGGACTCCCGCAGAAGATCAAACAATGCTATAAAAATCGGTGAAGAACTATTGGAATATGTACCTCGGCAGTTTTATTTCGGAAAAGGCCAATATCTACTCTGAAATTCAGCACAGGATTAGCAGCACTTCAAGAGCGTTTTGGAAATTAGGGACAGGGTTTTCTACAATCACGACTTGAGCACAAAAAAGAAACTCGCAGTGTACCGAGCAATAATAATCCCCACCATGTTGTATGGGAGCGTAACCTGGATGCCGTACCGTCGACACATGAACGCATTAAACAAGTTGCAACAGAGACACCTTATTAAGAATCAAATGGTTCCATCATGTCTCAAACGTATCGGTCCTTGAAAAAGCTGCAAGAGTATTGGAGTCGTGGTTACATAATCCCGCTTAAGATGGGCTGGTCACATATGCAGAATGCAAGAAAACCGCATACCAAAATCTCTGCTTTACAGTTAGCTTGTAGACGGTAAGAGGAGGCCGTGTGGATATCTCAAAAGGTATAAGGACATTTTCCACGAAAACTTAAAGGGGATTAACATGCAGAATGAGTGGGAAGAAACAGCTTATAATAGAACTCATTGGAGAAGAATTGTAAACTCGTTGGTGTGGGGAATTTTACAGCGACAATCAAAAAGTAAAGAGGCAACAAAGCAATGAGATTTTTGAATGTCCGGAGTGCGGTAGACAGATAACATCACGTATCGGGCTTTTCAGTCACAGAAAAGCTCATGAATGAAAACGCCTTGCGTGACTAGCTTCTGATGCGTGTCAAATACTCGTTAGCGAGAGATATATTGGTTACCCACCGTTTTGTGGCTATTCTCGTGACTGCTTTTGCAACGCCACATAGGTGTTATGGGCCTATGAATGATGGGCATTGATAAGCCTTTGATATTTCAATTAACCAATTTTAATTTAATGACCAGCTCAATTAGTCGTTTCGTCGCTGATGCATAGTATTGATATGTTATTTTATACATTATTAAAAAAAAGATTTAAAAATAATTTTACAGAATTTAATCGAACGGAGAGTGAAAAAGCCAGCGAGCAGCGCGACTTCGTTCAAGCGGCAGCTGTGCGTTCGACTCGACGTAAACTGTGACATGGGCCAGAACAGTAGGTTAATAAGAACAGGAAGGTAGCGCACCGAACCCAGCTTAACTTTCAGTAGGTGAATAACCCCCGTTCGTTGTCGAAATGTCAACGACCTCATTGAGCTGCTGCTGCTGTTGATGTCTGCTCGAAGAGAGCGAGAGACGGCGAAGCGAACCAACACCCTGCAGGAACGTACCCGATGTGCTCGCATTTCGGAAAGGTCCGGGTAGAAAGTGCAACTTGAGAGACCAAAGATCACGACCGATCTAAGTACTCGATTGTGGAATATTTGTAAAGATCGTAAAAGAACATACAAAACGCTAGAGATGTTGTAAATGTGTACAAAAGCTAGGGATGAGCGATACCACGACTTTTAAATCATACCTACTGTTAACTGATACCTTGATATTTTGTACGTGCGTACATCTTTTATATTTTGCTTATAGAAACATAGTAGGTTCTTGTAAACATATATCAAATGTCAAAATCAATTGTCATCTTTAGTTAATGACGATTTCGACTGGGCTGCACCGGTTCTATTCGAATGCTGTCAGGTCGAGCAACTGCTCAAAGAGTTGCACTTGCACAATGCTGGAGCGAACTGGACAGAACCAACCATGTATGACGGTTCCAAAATTATTGCACTGAGTGCTAGTTAACGAAGCTGCTCTAATGCAGCCGAACGAAAAAACAATCCCCATCGGGTCAATTTTCCATTGCCCTTGCTTTGCTCTTACCATTCGAAATTGTAATTCTGTTCGAGTTCGCATTGAGTGCGGCTTAGTGCAGCCAGTCGAAATTACCATTATCAACGATCTGAGAATAGGTCCATCAACAACGGCGGTCACCCAGGAAAACATCGATCGTGAAATTGAAGCATCGCTGGGCATTTCAAAGAACTCAATTCAAAAAATTTTACATGATTTAGCTGTAAAGCTGTAATAAATTAGTTTCTTGTTGGATACCGCATTTGTTGACGGAAGGACAGAAAGGAATTAAAGTGAACTGGTTTTATTTATTTATTTAGCGTATGGCATATTAAGACACAAAGTACGTATATATATGACAAAAAGGAATAAAAAAAATTACAACCGAACATTTAACAAATTAATATAATCTATTGATTCTGGAGTTACCAGTAGGAAATCTTCTCGTCTGCCGTTATAAGTCGTTTCAGAGCATTCCTCCACGATATGTTTGATGGTCTGATTTTTGCCGCACTCGCAGGAGGGGCTTGGACTTTTGCCCCAATTGTGTATAGGTATAGGCGCATCTGCCATGCTGCGTTCTAATTCTATTTAGCGTGCACCAGGTTTTCCTTGGTAAGTCAAAACCTGGTGGTGGGTTGGTGATGCATGGTATGCCACTGTTTTGTATCAACATCGCTTCCTGATACCAAGCGTCGGTGATGCTCCATTCGTCTTCAATTACATTTAGTGCGGTTTTGGTGGGTGGTTTTCTAGATCAGTTTTCTAGAAGATTGTAGTTAGCATTCTCGATGTCTGTATGGATCGGTAGTTCTCTGTTGTCCAGTATCTTGTTAAACTCTCTGTCCAGAGCGTTTACGCGGCGCAGACTTAGGGGTGGGATTTCTCTCAGTACTGGAAGCCATTCTGTGGGTGTGGATTTAAAAACACCAGCAATCATTCTCATTGTATTATTGGACTGTGCGTCTATTTTGTGGATATGTGGACTATTGAGCACAGTATTCGGCAGTTGAGTCGACGAGACCTAGAGCTGACGAGCGCAGAGTAGGAGATGAACCACCCCAAGATGTCCCGCACAATTTTTGTATTATATTGTTTCTTGTTTTCAAGGGCGCTATAGAAGCAGCCACAAGAATGGTTTTTGTATACCTAACAAATATCTAGAATGGCGGAGAAACCATGGTAAAGACAGGTGAAGAAGTTCATAGTAGAACATTTGCCAAAATTTAAGGCTACCTGATGGGCAAAGACAGAAAGACTGTCAAAGCTAGTAGTATTGTAAGCTTAATAGGTATCTAAGCTGATGGGATTGATGGACGAAACCATTTTCAGGTTTTGTCAGTTTTAAGAAGAAACGACGAAACATATTTTATGTTAGTGCTACAGCTTTTCAAATGACTTCTAAAGTCTTTGTATTAGGCAATGATAGACCATTGATAAAGGTCTAGAACATAAGATAAATAAATATAAGGTCCAGTCTCCAAGTTGCTAGACTTTTTGAAAAGGATAGTAGTGGAGAATGTAACATAGGGGGATCAGAAGAAGATAGTGTTGAAACTAAAAAAAATTGAGATTCCAGTTTTGGAGACTCCATTGTCTTTATTTATTTTGATTAACACAACGTATCGGTTAGAAGGATCACTGACCGTTATCAAGTGTAAACTTCAATCTAGCCTCGACAATGTCTAACGACTCTTCCAAGGGGACGTTAGTATATAAATTTTCCACATCAAAACTAACACATTCCTCTGAAGAACCTAATTCTATGTTCTTAAGTATTTCTACAAAGTGTTTTGAATTCTTAACAAAATGAAGTTGTTTTTTCTACTAATGGTTGGACAATTTGAAGAAGAAATCTACTTAAATTGCTAGTTGCTGAATCTCTTGAACTAGTGATAGGTCTCAGTGGCACACAGTTTTTGTGAATTTTTGGTAACCCATAAAGCTATGATGGTTTCCTGTGATCTGGTGTAAGCGATGTATTATGAGTCTTCTGGATGTCTTCCTTATGCTATTACATGTTCTGTTAATTTTCTTCATTATTCTTTTGTGGTCCTTCTTCAAAGTTAGTTCTATAATTTCTTCAAATCTTTACTGGATGTCATTTAGCAGATATGATTTCTTCCATCTGTGGTAATATATATGGGATCGAATCAATGCCTTACTAGCGTTGTCTAATATACGTCTAGCTCTCTTGCTCCTTGGATCGGTGACTTGATGTAGAAGTCACTGGGAATGAAGTTTTTATCCCATGCTGTACATAAGAAGGAAATATGGGTTTCCTCCTTAGTCAGCTTCATTTTGCTTTTCTCGTAGCCTCGGAAAATCTGTATAGTTTTTTATAAAAGATCTAAACGGAGCGGAGGGAACTTATTGGCATTTAATTATTGTTGTACATGTGCACCTATAATTGAGAATAGTAAATATCAATGTTTGCGCTATTTTTTGTATGCGAGGACAAAATTATTTGTCTGAATAAATTTGCTCCAGCAATAAATAAGTACCCAGCTTGAAGTGTGTTTAGTCGGTCCATTGCCCCTCGAAATAAAAGTTTACTATCGCATCCGTGAGTATGCTAATGTTCGCGAGCGGTGTCGCGTTTCACTGTCAGGGTTCTTTGACATCGCATATTTTCACCTAGTGCACCAGATTCGAGCGAAGGAAAATGGGTCGCGCCACCTCCCACGCCGAGCGCGTCCGCGTGCGCGGTCACCGACCTCTCTCTTTCTCTCTGTCACTCTTACTCCGCCGCGATCGGGTAAAAATAGCGGATCGGATTCGGATCCGAAACTAACGAAAGCAAAAAACAGTTGGCGATGTCGTTTTGCCAAAGAAATTGGGTTGTAGAAACTATCTACCAATTCGTGTCATCCAACTTTTTCCAACAAGGAGATTTCTAAAGGTACATCTCAAATTAAGTCCTCTCTCTTATTTTCTTTGATTACTTATAAATTAATAAAATAGAAAATGAAAGATACAACAAGATACAATGCATATTGTAGAATATAGAATGTTTAGCAGGGGGGTTAATCACCGCGACCTCACAGATCTATTGTGTGTTCCCCTTTCTTGAGTGATAATGAGTTATAACTCATCATACAGTCTCAGGGCTTTGAGAAAAACCAGTATCTGACACGGCTTCACAGATGCCAGCTCTTCATCTTCGACATCAGCCGTATCAAAGTTTATGGCACGAACAGTTGTCGTCTCAGCGCACTCAGTGATATTGTGTTCTGGCGTTTCCCAATTTTCCTCACAAAATCTGCATTCACCGTTGATTCTCAGTTTCCGTCTAATGAGGTGACGTCTCCGTGACAGTCCGAAGATTGTTCTTACTTAAATCAAGGAAAATATTTAATTTTTCTCAGTCGTACAATGCATATCTACAAACACAATTATTGATGTACTCAATAAATTTCATTCGCGGTAAGAAATTCAGTCATCTTTCCAGTATGTCTTGAGGTTTGTCTACTTGCATTGTATCCCAGTATCCCCGGTCATTTTTTTTTGTTATGAATGGCAACTGCTGGTTTATATCTCTATAGTAGTATGTTTCTACTTTTCAGTCCAGGACTTAATGACGTTGAAACTGTTAATATGGACAAAATACTTAGATTCTTGTAGTGGGTTAATCTCCATGAGATTTAGGTTCACCTTAAGGTTCATTCTCACTATGCCTTCCATATTTATCAGCTACCTCCCGTTTCCCTTCCGTTTACATAAAATATTATATCATGTAAATGAATAGGACAATGCACGCAATCCGTTCCGTTTCCCTTCCGTTCCATATCCTTTTCTTCCATACATTTTTTGGCGGACGAACTGAAACAGCGTTGTCAAGTTCTTACATTTGTACCGGCTCTGTTAACATTTTGCTGATATTTATTTATTCTTTCACCTCTTAATTAAATCTATCACCTTTTTCAAAAGATACAAAGTTTTAAAATAAAACTTTCGTAATGATATAAATTCTACAATAAAAAGTATGGAACTGATACGAAACGGCAGTTATTGTATTTACGTTATACGTATGGTATAACGTAAATACAATAAAAAATACGGAACGTATATGGAATGGAAACGGAAGGTATAGTGAGAATCAACCTTAAAATGGAAGTTGCGAACTATGGATTCATTTATTATACCCCCTTAGAAGCAATTGGTGTCTGCGATTTTCTGGTGGTGGCATTTACTTACTTACTTACTTACTTATTGCCATTACTCGCTGACGAGTATTTGACACACACCAGATGGTTTTTTGTGACTGAAAAGTTCGATACGTGATGTTATCTCTCTTCCGCACTCCGGACATTTAAAAGTCTCATTATTTTATTGCCTCTTTACTTTTTGGTTGTCGTTGTTAACTGAGCTTGCAATTCTTCTCCATTGCGTTCTACTGTGCGCTGCTTCCCCCCACTCATTCTGCATGCTTATCCCGTTTAAGTTTTCATGGAAAATATCTTTGTACCTTATGAGTTGTCCACCCGGTTTCCTCTAACCGTCCAAGAAGATATTTCGGTAGGCGGTTTTGTTGCATCCTGCATACGTGACCAGCCCATCTTAAGCGGAATTTAGTAATCATAACTCTAGCGCTCTCACAGCTAGCTTTTTCAACGACCGATAGGTTTGAGACATGGTGGTACCATTTGATTCTTAACTAAATCTAAGGTGTTTCTGTTGCAACTTGTTTAATGCGTTCATGAACCGACGCGCGACGGTACGGCACCCAGGTTTCGCTACCTTATTATAACATGGTGGGGATTATTATTGCTCGGTACACTGCAAGTTTCGTTTTTGGTGGTGGCATATGATATGATGAAAGAGGCCATATATTGGATAAGTAACTCTCTAGCTAATTCTCTAGCTTTTTTTTAAGTAACTCTCTAGCTAAACCTTGCTAAAACACCTGTGTTGTGGTCCTTTGAGTTCCAGTTAGTTCAACTTTGTTTAGACAAGATTTTTCCTTTATTTATTCTTTTTTTTTGAACTTCCATCACTTGAGTTCTTAAAAATAAAAGTAATATAACAAAATTGTTTTTATTTCAATTTTTTTATTAAATAATTTGTACATATAATGTGTAAATGTAACAATAGTTATAGGTACTGTTCATTTATTATTATTAAGACAAAAGTATAAGTGCATTTATCTATTTTATAAAATAAAAACTCACCTTAATTACTATCATCGATGCTATCCTACCTATTTCTTTACTATGAAAAGCCCTATTTTTAATTTTCAATATTAATAACTTACCAGATGGTGGTTTTAGTATTTGTTTATAAATCTCTGCTTGCACTTCACCAGCTGCTTCCATATTTTCTATTATCAATTGTACTAAAATGTTAATATAATAAATATAAAAGTAATATCATGTAATTAAATTATAAATTACTTACAGATTATTTTTTTCTTGTTTTAATTTCTTATAAATCGCATTCCATCAATAGATCTATTTCACCACTGCTGAAATTGAAGTATCTTTCCCCTTTTCCATAAAGGTAAAATTAAATAGCCTATACCATAATAGAACTGGTCGGAGTCACACAAAATATATTTTAGTTGAATTTTATTG